GATCATGCTGATTTTCGAACTTGACCTGCGTATTATGAATATTCATCAGTTCTGTAAGTTTCAAGCCAAAAGGTAAAATGATTTTCCACTTATCGTGTTATCGGTGCTGCATATATGCTGAAAAAAGTGAAAAAACAGCATAAATTCCCTATAAATGACCCGATCATGCTGATTTTCGAACTTGACCTGCGTATTACGAATATTCATCAGTTCTGTAAGTTTCAAGCCAAAAGAAAAAACAGTTTTCCACTTATCGTGTTATCGGTAAAAGTGCACGGCGACGGCGACGACGGCGACAGCGACGGCGACGGCGACGACAGACGCAGATGATGGCTATATGTACAGACACATCTGTGTCTGTACATAAAAAGAACTCCTTTTGAAGATACCTGATCTGTTCAGCCATGATAGACTTGGCATATGGAAGATTAGGGAGGTTGACATTCTTATATTTGATGAGTTGCTCTCCCCTCTTCTTCTCCTGTAGGTACACCTGTACCATAGCAATCTCTGGTGCCAGGTTTCCTGCCCACGGCATCTGCTTGCAGTCACGTAGACCAAAACTGTGGATGTTTGCCAAGCACGTAGTCAGGTTCTCACTGAAATTAAAAAAAAAAAAATAAATAAATAAAGTTATGGATTATAACAGCTGTCATTACTGAGATTTAATGAACAGATAATCATGCTGACAGCTTTTAAAAAATCAGAATTTATCTTTTTTGATTTAGTAATTTTCAAAATGTGCCTTATGCAGGCTCTACTGAAAAAATACTATGAGTTATAAAAAAACTTAAACAGTAAATGAAAACATTTCAATTCAATACACACCAATTCAGACCAATTTCATATATTAAAAATAGTTAAATTGATACCCCTAAAAGCTGAACAATGTCTACCCAGACCTACCTCAAGTCCACATTATCCTCCACCAGTTTGTTAATATTGATATAATAAGCTGCCTCTCCCATGAGAGCATCCTGAGGCCAGTCACACATCCAGTTGATCTGACACCCACTCAGCAGACCTGGGTATTGGCTGGAATTAGGTGACATAATATAAGACATAAACTCAATTAAATAATGATATGTTCTTACTGAATGCCACATGTGTATGGAACTTAAAATCTAGATATAATAGTTACCTTAGCAAATTCAAAATTTTTCAGATTTACTTGATATTTTGAGTAGCACCTTCAACTAAAGACACTTCAAGAAATCTGGAGACACTACAAGTCAAATAAAACATAATCACTTAAGGATATTAAATGCAAATACATACATGGAAGCAGTCTTCAGAAGTCTGTGGTTTGGAGGCAAGCACATTATGATATGGAGGTTACTCTTAATTCTGGACACAAAGTACTTCATAGGGTCCTGGGCCATATTAGGGAACTCCCTCTTTAGTGCAGGGCCAATGGCCTGGGTGAAACAGAAGGAGGATATCAGGACTGAGCAAATTTTACTATCAGTGTGAAGGCAAAATTCAGACCAAAGTCCTTTACAAACATCAAAATGCATCTATCTAATGGAATTACTGCTAGTTCTATAGGATGAATATGTATAATTACATATAGTAATATTTCTATGATCACAGCCAAATTAAGCAAAACTGATGCTATGGAACTGCAATATAATAATAATAAAATCTATACTATCAAACTGTATTGTGATGGGTAAGCACTGACAGATGTAGAGTTAGATCTCACCTGTAGCAGTCCATCCAGTTCATCATTTGACAGCAGGTGAGGATATTCTCCACACACCAGTAAACTGTTGATGGCATCCAGGTACATGTCATCATGGAGATCACGGGCCTGGAAGGGGTGAAACAAAAAAATATACAAAAAGATATCTTCAGATGTTACTCTTTCTTGTAGATCCGCGTGAGCTGCACACCAAAAAAATCATCTAAAATATATTTGGTGGACAATAAACACGTCTAATGATCAATTTCTACACTGAGTATAATTCAATATTTAATCTATGTTCAACTAGTGTTCTAAAAAATATTATTAGAATGCACCAAATGATAATGACAACACCATCAACTCACAGTGAACATAAGAGATATAATCTTGCCCTCAGCTCCACTCAGTCTCACTGCAGACCTAAGGCCATCAAAGAAAGTGTTCTGTTTGGAGGAGTCTACAGGGTGGATCTCTATGTCAGCCACATGGAGGGCCAGCTTGACCAGTAGGGCCAGGTGTGATCCAATGGCACCAATAAACAGAAAGTTACCACTGGAAATAGGAATATCAAATATAAATACATCACTTAGTCAAGGTTTAGGTAAACCCGATAATAAAAACCCAGTGACCACATGATAAACCAATTGCAGTATCTTATTTCTTGCTCTACAAGCACTCCAAAACCTTCATGTTCTAAAGACAAAACTATATCCAATTTTCTAAAAAGAGCATTCCAATTAACCTACCTAAAGGGAGAAAATCCCGCTCATTACATAACTTATGCATGGTAAGCAGGAAATTACAAGTTAAAATGTTTGATCTATGATAAGATTTTGAAAATATCTCACCCATGATGGAAACTGAGCACTCTGTGCATCCTGACCACATGTGCTATGATATGGTCAGATAACATGATGTCCAGTTGGGTGTTACCAAACTCCTCATTGTATCTGGTTAGGTGGGCAAACAGACAGTTATGGACGTCGTGGAAACTCTGAATGGGCTGAAGAACAACCTGGAAACAACAGTGTCATGAAATACTGAGAATTATCTGAGAAATTTAAATAGTACAGACTGCATTAGTAATAAATAATAGTCTACTGATAGTTTCTTCAATTCATTTGGCAAAAAAATCTTTTTAATGTTTATTTCCTATTTATTCGCTTATTTATTCATATTCAGTTATACATCTCATGTAACTTTTTTGCTTGGACTAAAACTGTCACTGCATTTTGGAGTTTTAATTGCTGTGCATTGATGTCTGGTGTTTTAATGATGTCAAACAGTCTCAGTTATATCTGAATACACCTTTCTGCAGACTCCTGCCTACCTTAACTTGTTTCTGTGATAGAGAGGTCACTGGTCTCTGGTACACTCTGGTATCAATGGGGAATGTCACAAAGTTCTCATACAGCTGGTCTGCCATACCTGGCCATGTCTAGGAAAAAAGAAAAACGTATTTTGAAGTAAATGTCGACATTGAAACTTCATTACAAGACTGAGAAAAATTTGCTTCCTTTCCTACACTAAGAAAAAAATCTATTACAGTAGGAAAATATGTCAAGTAAGACTGCAATGTGTCTCCATGAGACATCCAATATAATTTCAGTATGAGGAAGAAACTATGAAAACTGGCACTCTTGCATTCAAAGTAACAAATTGAATACGTTCCTTTTAGTTTATCACCATGTAACATTGAAACAAATACACTGTAACAAATTTAAAAAGTTCATCTGATGCTATCACCAACAACCTGACTTTTATTCAGTTCACGTCTTGCGGTAATTGGTAGCTTTTTGTTTTCTTTTAAAACCCACCTCATCCACCACTTTCTCCAGTGTCCCCTCTAGCCAGTTGATATCACACTGTCTGCAGATCTTGTCTTTCATGATTCTGTTCATCTCATGTCTCCACAGAGATATCACTGTCACATCCTCTGCACGGTTCTCATCAGGGAGACGCTTCAGACACTGACAAGGATGACATGATCAGGTAATAAAATGTTTTGAAATTTTTGTGTCTCATTCAATGATATATACCTATATTATTAAATTTTTCTAAAATGAGACTTTTTTGTCCTATAAGTTTATCACAAAATTAGACTTTTTTGTCAAATGAACATGCATAATATGGGGGTTGTAACTGCATTTAAATCTTGATCCAAACTAATGTTACTTTTTACCAGCATCTTTTCATCATTTTGCTTCAGTATAAATTTTTGTCCTGTCAAAGATTCCTAGGTGATAAATCACCACTGTGCATACTATTCACAATAAAGAATCAAACTGTTTACAGGCTGGGCACAGATATCTCACCTGAAAGCATGTGATCAAGTCCTTCAAAGTGAACAGGTAATGGTATCTCCCTGGCATAGGCGTGGGTCTGAGCACATCTTGGACAGCAGTCAGTGTCTTACAGGAGGCGGTCACTATGGAGTTGTGCAGTTCCTGCTCCAAGGCAGGCTTGTCTCCTGCTGTCATGTTACCCTAGGGAGGAAAAGGAAGAATTCATTATTTAAGTTCTTCGTTAAGCACGATAGATAATTGTTGCTTTGAGAATGGAAATTTTAACTGTTTCATGTACTTTGATTAACAACAGATTGCATTGTATTTGCAACCTTACTAAAACTAAAATGGCAACTTTTAAAAAATTATTTAAAATTAGCTACATTGAAAATTTACTCACTAATTCTAATTATCTATTCCACATTAGTTCTTCATTAAATACATCAGATACACCACCTCTGTACATTTCTTTAACCACAATAACCATGAAATATTGTAGTACATGTATAAATAGAGAAGTTTCTATACTATGAGCTATGATCACCCACCTCCAGCACTCCATTCACAATTCTCTGCAGACCATCCTTCACAGGAGACGGCAGGTGGAACACAGCAAAGTGACGCTGGAAAGATAACATGAGAAAAGTTTAAACAATGGAAAGAGGCTGTTCATGTTAAACAGTCTTCTGAAAGTAATCTTTTTTTTGGGTTGGAATATTTTGAGGAAGACCTAGAGAACGGCCTTTATGTTCACATCATAGAAAACAGCATTTATCTAATCCTGTATTATAGAAAATATGTAACATGTAAAAAAAGACATTAAAAAATCCATCAAAAGCATAAGAGAAAGTTTGAATCAATCCAGATTCACAAAAAATTTACCATCAGCCTTTCTTCCAGTTTTCTGTTCTTGGCACTGGGGTATTCACTCATAGACATAGTGGCAAAGATAATCAGGCCTTCTATGGTTCTCCATTCAAATGGCTTCTGTAGTGTGCAGAGAGTTCTGTCATCTAAAAGTTGTCTCAGGAGCTGAAAGAGTAATGTTGAAATTGAAAATTGAAAGCCGACTTTGATGTCAGTCTCAATAACTTAAATCAACACAACTTACTTTGTTGGTGATATAATTATTACATTACCACCATATATCCTGATACAACTGAATTCATAATCTGTATACCATTAAGATAAGAGTTTATTCAGCCATTAATATATAAATATAAAATTCATATAAAACGGAAATTGGACTGCTATTCGGGTTACAAATTATGAATAAATAAATTATAAATTTCCATTTTTGTTGTTAAAATAAGACACAGCAGATGGGTAAAAACTCTTTAAAAACCTTTTAGATCCCTTAAAAGTTAAAAGCCTGCAGTTGCTCGGTAAAAATTTAAAAAGCCCATGTGCGGGGTGGGTATAGTCAGACATGATTTTCTCTGTTTTTGTTACTTATCTATTAGTATAGATGGCACCTAGAGAGGGGAGTTCCAGACCGATGATTTTGCCGCCACGTTGATGTGACCATATCTAGACGCTTGCGTTCTTCTACAGTGGCCCGCCCATACCATACTATGATTGCAAATGTTAATATACTTTCTATAACGCATTTGTAAAAGTTTGCTAAAATCATTTCATTTGAAGTAAAATCCTTCAACTTTCTTAAAAAATATACCCTTTGCCTCGCTTTTTTTAACTGTTTGTCTATGTGGTCCTTCCATGTAAGTGAGCTATTGAATTCTACCCCCAGCAGTCTAAAATTGGCTACTTGCTTTACTGCAGTGCCACTGATATGAATGGGTTCTTTCACATTTCTGTTCTTTCTGAAGTCAACAATCATTTCCTTAGTCTTCTCTACATTCAGTAACAAATCGTTGTCTTTACACCATTGTACAACTGAGTTGACATCGTTTCTATACCAGGTCTCATCATTATCACTTATTAAGCCAATTAAAGTGGTGTCGTCTGCAAACTTCACGATGCAATTACTCTCATGAGATGAAACACAATCATACGTGAACAAGCTGTACAGACATGGTGACAGAACACAACCCTGAGGCGCACCTGTATTTAAAACCAATTATTATCAATTATTATCAACAAACATTATCCAGAGTTATGCCACTCAATATCTTTGTAACAAATTGTGTTCTATGGTTTAAGAAGCAGCTGTTTGCCTAAACATCTCTCTTGGTAACTTTTGTTTTTGTCAAAAGATGAGTAAAGTTGCTGTTTTTTTTACCTCGTTGCATCTCTGCACTCCCTGGCTGTCAGGTACAGGCATATTGAGGTCATCAATGAAGATCTGGAGTCTTTTGTTCTCCTTGGCACCATACACAAATCCTGATGATAAAAATTTAATAGTAAAGACTATTTAAAGAAAAATAAAGATTTATACACTGTTGGCACATAACTTCAAGGAAGTGACAATTTCGTGTATAAAATTATCATTGTAGACTTTATCTCTAAATATTTTTATGTTTTAATTTACTGAAACTAGTTTCCATGCCAAACATTCTGAATTTTCCCATGTACCTACCCTGCCTGTGGTATATGTTAGCCTCAATAAACTGCTGTAGTTGTTTGGCTGTGGAGGCACCAGAGTATACCAGTCTCTTCCCTATCTGAACCTGGTTGTCTGCAAGGACAAAAGACAATGTAAGGCTTCGTTCACATGCAATGTCTATTTTCTAATTTCTATTTTCTATTTGCGCTATCTTATGATCACGGTCTGTGCCCTGAATATCCCGCCGTGTAATTACTGGCAGCTCGAGCCAGTTACTTATAGTAACTTATAGTAACTGGCTCGCGCTGCCAGTAATTACGCCGCGGGATATTCAGGCCACAGACCGTGATCATAAGACATACCGCAAATAGAAAATAGAATTTAGAAAATAGACATTGCATGTGAACGAAGCCTAAGATTGAAGCCTGCTGAAGATAATACTTTTGTCTCAAAGCCTGAGAGTTTCATTACAACAGCCAATGTAATTTTGAACTCTTTAAATCAAATAAAATAATGTGAATGACAACTTTGTATTATTTCGCTTGAAATGAAATAATTTCCCACCCATATTTAGCCATTTCAATTTATTTGTTTAAATCTTTCACTTGTATTCTTTAATATAAGTTTTTTTTAAACAGAAGAGTTACTTTATACTGGATTTCCATTTAAATGAAAAAATTCTCCTTCTCACCCTGGGCATCAATGAACTCATTGACCATGGTGGTCTTGCCAGAGCCTGGAGGTCCCACTAGCAACACATTCTGTCCTGAGGCACAGGCAAACTCCAGGAACACACGGGTGCGGATCTGTAGAAGATTATTATTTTTTTCTTTAGAAGAGTATAACTCAAGTAGAAGTCATGTCATGAGTAGTTGCACTCTAAAGCAATATTTTTCCAAAAAAAAACCCCTTTAAACTTAATCTGTGTACATAGTTTCATATACCCAGAAAAAACACTGTCCAGCTCCTCAAACTTATTTAGATAGTAATTGACTTACTGTGTCCACAGTGTCCACAAACACCTGCCCCAAGATGTCCTTGTTGTCTGTGTAAATGGCCTCTGGTACCCTAGAGACCCAGGGGTCCCATTCTCCTGACTCATCTACATAGTAGTCAAATACACAGATATCACGGTCATCATCCGGGAGGCTGGAATTAACAATGGAGATTATATTCAAAATATGCTATAAGGTTCTGTTTTGTTATTTTGCAAAATACAATGATTTCTAGGTTTTCCCTTTTGAGAAATCTGATAAATTTTGGCATTTCTGTTGTGGTGAACATGTCTAGAATATTTTGGAGTAGCATAACATTACTGTCCACTTAAAATAAACAATTTACAATAAAATGTGTTAATTGAAAAGTTCCATTGCAAAATGAGAGATTCCATAATGAGAGTCATTGAAAAGTAACATGAGCAGGAACTTTAAGTCACCAGCCATGACCTACTTGCATTTTACCTCATTGACACCAGATGGGGCTCATGCTGATCAGGAGAATTAAGGCTTTTCCTAAACCATACTTACGCAGATGACAATGTCTTGACCAAATCACTGAATCCCTTCCTGTCTCCCTTGTCCAGTAGTCCACCAAATGACCAGATCAGACAAAACAGATACAGTCTCTCTATGTGTAGCTCACCACCGATCTCAATGTTGTCTGCTAACATGGCTGACAAGAGGTTGAGACAAGTTTTGAACATGCCCACTTCACTCAGTCGCATCTTGGGTCTAAGGTAAAAAGAATTCAATGAAATCTAATTCAACACATTTGCAATCTTTGATCAGTATTCTTTTGACATAACAACAATAAAATGCTTCACTTAATTTCAGTATTTTTTCAAATCAGATGCTCTAAACATATGACTCAAATAGAATCATCAAAATGCATTTGAATAGGAGTACCAGAAGACTGAAAATAAAAGATTGCTTCATTAATGTACTTACTTGGCCTCTGCCAGGACATAGTGCGACACAGCATCCACTGTTTTATCAAATGCTCTTTGTAAAACCTAAAACAGATCTCTAGGTGCTTGAATGCATTTTACATGAGATAATACTATTTTAAATGGGCAACAGGCTTTTAAAATCTGTAAAATGCTCAAAAATGCATTTTTATAGTAACAATAATTACTCAAAAGACCATTTGGCATTAAGTGGAAAAAACTTAAGAGTCTATATAAAAAGTGATAAAAATATCCATTACTATTTTACAAATGTATTAAATAAAGTATCACTTGCTTTCATAAATATCAAACCACAATATAACTTTTTAGTTTGAGTCAAGAAGCAAATTAATTTTTTTACCAATACTACAAGCAGTAGATTATGTAAGAAACAGACATTAAGCTTTTGTTGAATTAAACAGACTTGACACATAAGTTATATTTCAAAGTGCGTAGAAAAAGTGAGGAATTATATTATGCTTAACAGAGCTAGGTAGAAGCTTCCTTTCCAATTACTACATAGTTATTAGTAGATCACACGCTAGAAAGTCATATATGAATTGTGTTACGTTATAACCCATATAGACTAGCATACCAGTTCTCTGTCATTGTCACCAGCAATTTTTCAAGTTAAACAACAAAACATAATCCAAGTTCTTACAATAAATAAATAAATAATGGATCAAAAACACACTTTTCAAATTTTAACTTAAAGTTTTTTTAATGAAAAAAGGGTGATAATAACTTAATTTAACACATGGAAAAAGAAATAATTTACCACTGAAAAAATAAAAAAATAAAACAGGTCTGAAATCAAATACAAACTTAAACAAATTGACCACAAAATAAACAGTTACATCTCAATGAAAATAAACTGGCAGGCAAGACAAATAAAGAATACTGAAAGTTTGAAGGGGTTATTAAGGTGCAGGTTAGTAATTTTTTTATTCTAGTGCAATAAAAGCCAAGATCACAGTCTAAAGATGGCTAATTTCAGATAGATTGATTTTGCAATTTTTTGATGTCTGAACAAATAACTCTAATTAAAAAATTGGCCAAATCTATCTTTTAGAGGAATACCTTAATGTTTTATTCACCATCTTTAGACAATACAGAGAGGCAAGGAAGGGTTAATAATAAGGTTATGTTAAATTAGTAGGAATGAAAAGTTAAGCACAGGACCAGAAAAGTGAAAGTGACACAGAAATGTCAACATCACACACTGATTCAGGGAATGAAGGTGACAAGAGAGAGATGGGTGCAAGCATATTATTATACATGTGTGCCCTATGCATTATCACGTAACACGACGCACATGCACTTCCTGCTGTGTCCTGTTTTCCAGCCATGCCTTTGAGATGGGTCTCCAGCCAACGACGTCTTTGTCAACATACACAATACCCTTAGTGAAGAAACAAAATATGATACATGGACATGATGTATAAGTTTACAACACTGTTAAGATACAACATTTTAATCAACATTAACTTAATTCTTTAAATTATGAATACAATCAAACATTTGCAAAAAGTCATTATTCTAGATTATCAAAATCCACAAAGAAAGTTGTGGAATTATAAATCTAAAGCTGAGGAATTCTTCATGAAGTCAGACTCACAGTCCTTGCTATAGTAGCTGGGGAAGCCTGACTGAGGTCTGAGGTCTCAAACAGAAGCTTCACATTGTCAGACAGGAACAGACGGTCACCATTCTTCAGGTGCATTGCCTGGAACAAGTACATATTCAATGAAATATTTAGGAAACTCAACAGATATTGGCAACAAAATCTTCATAAAATGTAATCTGTGTAGCTCTGCAATAAAAGAATTTTTCTTGTTCAAATAATTCTGCATATTATATTTGCCTCAAAACAATCTTATGCATCTTTTTTACATAACATCTTAGTAGTTAATGTAAGTAGTTTCTTATACCCTTCATATTTTTTAAATATCTATTCTAAGAAAACAGCACATTTAATATCAATTTTCTGGTGGAGTGATTTATTTTTCATTACTGCAGCAGTACAATTACTTATGAAATTTGTCTCCTGTATCATTATGTCCATACCTTGCCAATGTCCAAGACACTGCTGAAGTTGTCTGCCCAGTTAGAATTGAGTGGGCCATCCAGACACAGCCACGTGGTGCTGAGATTCTGAAATATAAAATATAATCACAGTCAGTTCTTGGCATATATGTTTTATTTCAATACGTACCATAAAATGTTTAGAATATTTGGCATAGTATATCAAAATTACTTTTCCATTTCAAATAATCTCAGACACAACTATGCAGAATTCACATATGTTTAGTATTTAGTTGATGGGGAAAGTGATATTTAAAACATTTTCTTTATAAAATTATGTTTACCCTGTTAGACTTCCTCAAAGCAGTGGTAAATATCCCATCCACCCAGTCCTGGTTCTGGTTGATATAACCAAACATGAGAGAGAGGTCATCCACAACCAGAGGGTTGATTCTCTGCAGCTTGTGGTTATTCTCTGCCATAGCTGTCCCCTTACTGCTGTGGGAGTGCCTGGAGAGGCCCCGTGGGGTCACACACAGGGCATCAACCAGGGTCTGGATACAGGTGGACTTCCCACTCCCTGGGGGACCAGCTATCACTATACCTGTGGTGATTAAGTAAATAAATACATTACAAGATTTCTGTTGTACATAAAATCTGGATCTGAAATTCATGAGAAAAGTATGACAATGGCTACAATAAAATAGTATGGTGTTACCATAAAACCAATAAAATCAAATAAATTGGAAAGATTTTTTATCAAGCGTACCATGATGAATCTGTGATACATTGTAGAGCTGCATGCACTTCTCCAGCCAGCGTTTGTGTGGAATGAGACCTTCCTCTCTTGCCGTCTGCTCCACAGCCATCTCTATGTCATATGACCTTGACCTTGCTGAATAACTTTGTTTGGTGGTTTCTGGGAGTCCAGAGAACACATCCTTGACAATTTGCTTGAAAATGGTGTAGTTCTGCAATAAAAAAATTTCTCTTGTTGAAATATTCTACATTTTTTTGTCTGATTAATTTTTAAGGGTCTGTAAAACTGCATGCAATAAATAGTCCATGTGCCATTCTATTTTTGTTTTAATTAGCTGCCATTCACACTATTTTAATAATATTTGCCTCAAAACTGCATTATGCATAATTCTTACTAAAAATACCAAACCAGATTTAGATGGGGTTTAACAAAACCACCTTACTGCTAACTTTGAAAAGGACAGTAACCCCAGTCACACAGTGAACTTTCTGAAAAGTGAACTTTGACCAGAACCTACAGTAGTCAGAAATTAGGGAGGTAAATATAGTGAAAGACTGCAATCTGGCATCTGTATCTTTAAGTGTAACAAAAATATTCTTTAATAAAATCAATCAGAGTGGTAGTAAATTCTTACATCTCCCTTGAGTCTAGGTCCTATAACCTCCAGCAGTGCCTGGCCCACCAGTGCATGCTCCTGCTTGGCTGCTGGAGTCAGAGGGTTGGGGGTACCAGCTTTCCTGGACAATGTAGTCTTGTCTGCTTGTCTCTGACCTGGAGCTGGACCTAAGAAATGAAAGACAATTTGAGCCTAGGTTGTCTGTGTTGAATTAATTCACAGCATTTAATGGTGACACTGCTTAACACATATCGAAGAAGGTCCCTGTTTGACGCAAAGCATTGTAACATATATAGCTTCAATATTATGTAGAAAGTGAACAGTTTTAACTTAGATCATATTTCATCATTATCAAGAATAATGAAAGCATATTGTACTAAAACTGTCAATTTCATTCTGCAACACCTACTTGTCAGACTTGTAGACATCATAGTAGGCAACTGGACAGAGGCCTGGCTGTTGGACCTGGACATCTGAGTCTCTTCCTTCTTGTCCAGCCTATCAAATGACTTCTCCTCCTTGAGAGACTTCCTCTTCTGTGCTGCCCTCTGCAGGACACCAGTCAAAGCAGTCAAGCTGAACTGATGTTGGCACTCTGGAGTCAGCAAGTCCTTAGCAAGATCTGTGATAATTTTCATCCTGGCACCTAGTATAGCAGGTGCTTTGAGGCCAGCTGAGGTGCACTTAGTTTTGAGAACTATACTGTAGTCTGGCATGACAAGTGCCACGGATCTGAATAATGCTTTCACATCCTCTGGCATGGTGAAGTTAGGGGGCGCTGTGGTAGGGTTGATGGTCATGTAGATAGCAACATTCTTCTTGACATTTACCTAAAACAAAGAACATTACCAAATCTTGTAATGCTGGAAAGTTAGTTATTTTGTCTTGATATGATACTTTAGTAATTCAATTTAAAAAAGATATATAATTAAAATTGTTTTCCTAAAGTTTCCATTTTTGGTAGATGATAAAACATCTCATCAGTCAAAAGTATCCATAGTACAAACCATAAATTGCCTGTACAGCACACAGCGTGTTTCCTATGCCACATAAGGCACAGACCTACCTCCTGTCCATCTCCAAAGTAACAGTAGTCTTTCCTGGCCTTGATGGCTCCAAATATGGCTGTCACACAGTCCAAGAATACAGAGAGAGCTTCCTTAGACACCAGCTGTGCCTCATCAAAGCAACCCCAGGAGCCATCCTAAGATAGACAAGCGTAAATATTATATTAAATGTGAAAGGAATAAGAAGTATATGTATATTTGATGTTCATGTTTCACACAATTACTCACATATTTCAGATTTTGCTGTTTTTATCATCTACTTGATATAGAAGTCATCCTAATTTCCATCCCATCTTCATCTTGAACACATAAATAAATAAATATGAAAGAAAAGAATTGAAAAATAGAAAACTAAATTAAGTCAATTATCAACTCACCATGGACAATCCTTGTAACATCTTGCCTAAAGATGATGGATCCATCTTTTCAGAACATTGGAAAATTCCAAGGAAATTTCCTAGAATCTGGGCAAGACCCTGAAATGAAAAGAAAAAACCAAATCAACACAAGGTTTTACCCAAAACCAGTTCTATATTTTGTATCACATCATAACAAATCTTGATATTGCCTTCAAGAAACCAGAGAACTTTACAACCCCCCCCCAAAAAAAAACATACTGAGTATTAAAAAAGCTTATTTTTGCATTAAACACATTTTTAGTGACAAATAAATTAGACTCAGGCTACCTTGCATGTCTCAGTCTTCCCCACTCCAGTTCCCCCATGTATAGCACTCCCCTTGAACTGTGCCAGGGCCTGGGACATGCCTAGGAAGCAACGCTCATTGATGGGAGTAGGGGTGATCATCTGCTGAGCTCCATAGAATTCACAGCCATATTGATACTTGGTGTCCAGCATGTAGATGACTGGCTCTGTCTCCTCACCTGAAATAATCATAATGCAATGAACACTGCCACATTTCTTCTTGATGTTTGTGACTTAAATACAGCAATATTATGTTTCAACAAAGAGTAAAGTACCTAAGTGTTACACTGCCTAAAATCTTTTAAAGTGGATCAACAGCAAAGCTTTACTGTACTATGGTTTACTAAGCTTTTTTCAATAAAAGCATACCCTGCTTTACCAGAGAATTTATTCAAAACATAATAGGAAAACCCTATTGATCTTTTTTAATTATGTTTACCTGTGAGAGTTCAAAAAGATATGAAAAAAAAGGTGAGGTGGCCATAGATACTTACTGACTTCCTGCAGGTAACATCTGGCATTTTTCCTCCATTCAAAGTCTGTGGTCTCCCTCAGCTTTCTATTGCTCATGTAGTCTATGCTGTCTCTCAAGTACAGGCAGTACTGAAAATATGAATTTGTATTATATGTTGTATTATCATCTATACAAAGAGGTTTTTGTTTAATTTTTTTATATTATCAAATTCACTCAAACAGCGGACAACACTTTCAATATTCTAAAGAATATTTCCCTTATTTAAATCTAAATATATTTAAATCTTATCTAAATACCTTAAATACTTGTGGCAGACTAAAAATTACAGTGAAATTTACATTTTGTCATGAAAAAAGCCAAGAATAAAACCACAAAATATATTCAAATGTCACTGCATTAATCCTTAGAACATGGCATTTAAACCACTCACAGTAATCATGGCCTCCAGTCTTAGCCGATGCATTGGCATCATGGCCTCATCTAGGGTGCGCCACTGGTTCCGGACTAACATGGCTGGCAGCTTACTGGTGGCTCCCTGGAACTTCTTGGAGATATTGTTCAGGGATTTCCTGTCATATTTAATCTCCTGTACGCCCTGCTCACACTCCCTGGTCCAGTAATACAACAGGCCAATTCTGCAAACTTGGGCTGGGTACTGGAAGAGAATAGTTTAACTTTACCTAAGTACATTCAATAATCTGTAACTATTTAGCCACAGTTTTATTCTTAAATGACCCAAAATGAGGAAGGCAAATAAAAAAACAAGAGAAAAAGAGAGACAGAGAGAGGTCTTACCCTGAATGCCCACTCGTCCATGGTGACATTAGCATTGACCTCCTGGCACACAGATACGGACATCTCATGGAGTGTGATCCCTACAGATTCCCTCAACTGCTGCAACCACATCTCTACTCCATCAGACAGGGAAATCTGTAGAGTAAACAATGGAAAACTCTTATACAGCTCACTTATTAAACAGATCAGCTACTGTACTTTTGAAAAAAAAAATTTTAATATATTTCTACAACAATCAGTGGATGTAAATGACAAATAATTAAATATCATCAATCTTGAAAAAGGAAAATGCTGAAATAAATGTGGTGCTTGAAATATGCAGAGAGTATTGGGTTAACTGTATTGCACTGCATTTAATACAAATGTATTTAGTATATACATTTACAATAGTAAGGACATAAAAAAACGTACTGTTTCATTGAGATTCAGCATCTCTCCCTCCAAACTGGTGACAGCCACTGCCTCCTGTACTACAGTCTCCTCTACTGCAACCTGCTCAGAGGGCAGCACTGTGGCAGTATGGGCCATCAGGCTGGGATGGATGTTCTATGGAAATTGATTTCAAATGTGTGATTTACCCAAGAAAATATTCTTATTTCAGATTTGTATATAAGTGATGCTTATTATGATGATTATATTTTTGTGAGTTTTATACTGTAAGCCAACAACACATGTACATATGACAATAAAATATGTTCAAATTCAATACATGCAAATTCAAATTTCAATATTTTTTTCTTTTTCTTTTTTCTTTAATCTCTTTTGTTAAGTGACATGCAACCAAACTAGCTGCACTATTAGACCATACAAAACATAAATCATGTTCTGAACACTAAGAAAATACATTATCTAGCATGCAAAAGTATATAGATTTTTCACAAAGCTCGCTAAAGGTAAGCCATGCAGATTTACATATCATCTATTGTCTCCATTGCTCACTACATCACATAGTAAGTGATGAATAAAGCTTACAATTGTCAAATAATTACTGCAATGTATACTGTGTTAACATACTAATTTCTATTCTTTAGATATCATTAAGGAAGTGACATAAACTAACAGTTTTAAAGTTCTATTTCACAGATATACTGATATGTAACTTATACGCTTCTAATAAAATGAACAAAAACAAAAAATGTCATTATTCATACATTGAAAATCACAATATTCATCTAGGTAAACAATATTCAAATTTCAATTTTCAAAAAGATTGACCTTTCAATGCTTTTCTCTGTAAGTATGTTTCAACCAACTTTGTTTTCAAAACTTTAGTATAAACTTTGTTAAAACAAAGGCAAAAATTTTTGTTCACAGAAACTACATCTAATCAGAGAAAAACATAAAAATGTCTGGAA